CTTTGGCCAGTCCTCCAGACCTTTTTTTGTTTCCCATTTCGCTTGTGTGAGCAAACGGCTGATTATCAATAAATGCTCGTTACCAAGTACCGGTTATTGCGTGTATTCTTTCATGTTGCGGGTCTCAGCACAAGCCACTACCGCGGAGTAGAGGTTGAGGAGGCCGTAACAACATTTCCAAGACACTGTGAAATTTGTACTTCAATGGAGTAATAAAAACTTAAAATGGGCATTTTCTTTGTTTTTCTTTGTTGATTGAGCTGATTGAATTGTGTAGTTATGGTACAATCCCAGCTAACTAGTCAAATTTGCAATATATTATCGTATTATTTAGATTTGTATATTTACAGTAAATTACTGGCTACTGTGTTGCATTACTTCTACAGTAATAGTGTGAACAGTGCGTTTAATTTGGCATATTACTCTCAATGAATATAAGAAAGCACTGCGTAAAGCGAGAGCAGCCTACTACTCTTCATTAATAGATGAGAATAAGAATAATGCAAGATTTATTTTCAGCACTGTAGCCAGGCTGACAGAGAGCCACAGCTCAATTGAGCCTTCTATTCCCATAGCACTCAGTAGTAATGATTTTATGTGCTTTTTTAATGATAAAATTGTTACTCTTAGAAACAAAATTAATGACCTCTTGCCTTTGACCAGTATAGTGTTATCAACAGCTCCCGGAAACGTAAGTTCTAATATTACACTAGATAGTAAACTAGAATGCTTTTCAGCCATAAACCTTGAACAATTAAATTCAATGATTCTCTCTTCTAAACCATCAACGTGTATGTTAGACCCAATTCCAACTAAGCTGTTGAAGGAAGTTTTTCCATTAATTAGCACTTATTTATTAAATATTATGAATATGTCTTTATTATCAGGCTATGTTCCACAATCATTCAAAGTAGCAGTGATAAAACCGCTTCTTAAAAAGCACAACCTCGATCCAGAGGTTTTAGCCAATTATAGACCTATTTCCAATCTTCCGTTCCTCTCAAAAATTCTTGAGAAAGCGGTCGCAAAACAGTTGTGTGATTACTTAAAAAACAATGATTTATTTGAAGATTTTCAGTCTGGCTTTAGAACACATCATAGCAGAGACAGCTCTGGTTAAAGTCACAAATGACATTCTAATAGCCTCTGACAAGGGACGTGTCTCTATTCTTGTTTTACTCGATCTCAGTGCTGCATTTGATACTATCGACCATGATATCCTATTGCAAAGACTAGAGCACTTAGTTGGCATACAGGGAACTGCTTTAGGTCCTATCTATCTGAACGCTCTCAGTTTGTACGTGTCAATGATGAATCTTCCATGCAAACCAAAGTTAGCCATGGAGTGCCACAGGGCTCAGTGCTCGGACCTATTTTGTTCACATTATATATGCTTCCGTTAGGCAATATTATAAGGAATCATTCTGTACATTTTCATTGTTATGCGGATGATACTCAACTATATTTATCAATCAAGCCTGATGAAATTAATCATCTAAATAAAATTCAAGACTGCCTTAAGGACTTAAAAACGTGGATGACCTTAAACTTTTTGATGTTAAACACGACCAAAACTGAAGTTATTGTACTTGGCCTGAAGAATCTACGAAACAAATTATCTAAGGATATATTAACTATGGATGGCATTAATTTGGCCTCCAGTGAGACTGTAAGGAATCTTGGTGTTATATTTGATCAGGATGTATCCTTTAACGCCCACATAAAATCAATTTCAAGGACCGCCTACTTCCATCTACGTAACATTGCAAAAATCAGGCATATCTTGCCTCAAAACGATGCAGAGAAACTAGTCCATGCATTTGTTAATTCAAGGCTGGATTATTGTAACTCTTTATTATCAGGGTGTACCAAGAAGTCAGTCAAGTCGCTTCAGCTGATTCAAAATGCTGCAGCTCGTGTACTAACCAGAGTTAGGAAAAGGGACCACATTACTCCTGTTCTGGCTGCCTTACACTGGCTCCCTATAGAACACAGGATAGAATTTAAAATTCTTCTTCTCACCTACAAAGCCCTTAATGGGCAGGCGCCATCTTACCTTAAAGAACTCATTATACCCTACTGTCCTACTAGGGCATTGCGTTCCAAGAATGCAGGGTTGTTGGTTGTTCCTAGAGTCTCTAAAAGTACAATGGGAGCCAGAGCTTTCTTATCAAGCTCCACATTTGTGGAATCAGCTTCCAGTTTGTGTTCGGGCGGCACACACCCTATCCGTTTTTAAGAGTGCGCTTAAGACCTTCCTTTTTGATAAAGCTTATAGTTAGGGCTGATTAGATTCAGCCCCTAGTTTTGCTGATATAGGCTTAGTTTGTCGGGGGACATCTTACTTCTTCCTTCTCTCTGTCTATACTTGTGTACTCTCATGTTCCGATTAACCCAGCTTCCCCCAAATGTCTTTCTTTTTGGTGTCTGTATACGCCGGGATCCGGAGTCATGGATGATCCTGCGCTCCTCTGTCCTGGATCTTGAGTCGTGGCTGTGGTCCTGGATCATAGGTCCTGGATGGATATCCTCGTGGATTCATCTTCCTATTATACACACATGCATTTCCAAACATTTGGACTACCTATGTTGCAAATGTATTATCTTTTCAATTTACACACGGCATCTATTGCACGTCTGTCCGTCCTGGGAGAGGGATCCCTCCTCTGTTGCTCTCCCTGAGGTTTCTCCCATTTTTCCCTTTAAACTGTGGGTTTTCTTCTGAAGTTTTTCCTTGTACGATGTGAGGGTCTAAGGACAGAGGGTGTCGTATTGTCATACTGATATTTTGTACAAACTGTAAAGTCCACTGAGACAAATGTAACATTTGTGATATTGGGCTATATAAATAAACATTGATTGATTGATTGATTGAACATACAGGTAATTACTGTAATTTATGTACAGCAAGGTACCATAATACCACAGCTCTGTACTGCTATATCACAGTAATGGGCATGGCAACTGTAAAGTCACAGTATTTAGTTGTACTTTTATTCGAATTTACTGTAAAATATATACAGTAAATTACTGTGAAATATTTACAGGAAATTACTGTGAAATATTTACAGTCAATTACTGTGAAATCCATGCAACTAGTAGCCAGTCATTTACTGTCATTTTACAGCCAAACATTTTACAGTGTATGATTGAACAGTAATCTGCCAATATATATGAGCAATAGTAATTGTAGACAGCTCTAAACATTCAACAGTTATAACATTGAGGTTCCCTTCTGACAGCACAAATATAACCTCTTATATGTAATAAAGGTTAATTCTCAACCTAGGAAATGGTTATTTTGAAAAATAGTAGCGAGACAAAACAATCCAAACTCAATTTACTTGCTTTCTCCAGAGCAATTTTTCCCATCAAAGTACGGCTTGGTAACTGATCTGTTGTCACGCAAGCTCAGTGGCTGCTCTGATTTGATCCGTGGAAGATGTTGTCTTTGTTCGTTTGAAGTTACGCTTGTGAAGAAAGACTGAAAGATAGACTGTACAAGAAGTGGATGTTGTCTGAGTTTGGCATTTTGAGAGGGTGGTGCAAAGTACTAATGGACAATATTGTGGTAGCAACTTGTCACAAGGTTGTGACGATTAACCCTGCTTTATCGTCTATTTCACTTGAAAGGTCCCATGTCATGATTTTCCGGTTATTACCCGTCCCCTTGTGTGTTATGAAGCTTTTTATGCATGTAAACGGTCTGCAGAGTCACAAACCCTCAGAGTGCATCCTGTAGCGAGTAAAACTCTAACACAGAAAATACCTGTCTATGCTGCCTCAGAACGCCTCGTTGGAGATTTCTCTTTTTCCATTGTTTTCTTCCTGGGTACAGTGACGTGCCCATACCCAAATGGACCCATTGGTTCAAATGGACCAATCCGTGGAACCATTACGTTACGTCCGCGGAGTCGTTACATTAAGTCCGTGGACCAATCCGCGGACTTCACACACACACACACTCAATATTTTCTCAGTTGCAGCTTCGCCGATTTCTCCTCCCTGAGACGGCGGGACGCACACACAGGCTGCGGGTGTGTGTGTGCTCGGGCTGGTTTCGGGCTGGGTTTCGCTGTCTCTCAGACGGCCACTGGGCTCGCAGGAAGGGGGGGCAGGAGCTCCAACAAGCCGTTTAGGAATACACATACAGCAGAGATGCTGTATGAGAAACCAATGTGATTTTGAAAAATTGCACAATATAAATCTATATACCTCAACAATGAAATTATGATCAGTAGAAATGGCCAGGACATGGGACCTTTTGGCATCATCATTTCCAAAACATAAATAGTTTTTTTTTTAAAAAACCTTGACAATTGTGATTGAGACATGAACTCATGAATTGTAAACTAAGGTAATAAATCAGGCGAGAAGGAGTCAGAAGGGTGATTTTTTTTCCTAGACTTTACAACAATCGGGTTCTTTTTGGAACCAGTGGAGTCGCCCCCTGGCAGTTTTTAGAAATAATGCAGTTTTAAGGCACTTAGGATTGACTTCACCTTCAGCCCTGGAGAAACCCTGAAAGCTCTGGAAAAGGCATGTAAATGGACCCTGAATTGGGATTGTTTCATAAAAAAAGAGTTTATTTTTGCACAATTATTGTTGCTTTTTTCCCCCCCTGAAAACCTGTATTTTAGCCTTTCCTCTCTTTTTCTTCTTTCTTACATATTTTTTACTTACAAATTAAGTGTGAATGGTACGTGCACCATTTTTCAAACTTTTCTTAAAATAGAAATGTAGGAGCCCAAATGAACATTGATGTAGGTTTTCCTTGCTGTAATAATTTGTGGATGTTCATACTGTGTCAATATCTGTCTGTTTGCCTGTTTTATTTTGAAAGGTGTTCACCCTCTCTCTCATGTCTGTGTAGCTTCCTGTCTCTGTGTTTTCCCTCCTGTCTGATCACTGATTATGTTCACCTGGTGCCCTTGTGTTTTTCCTGTCCTGCCCAGCTGTGTCTTGTCCTCTGATTAGTTCTGCATGGATTTAAGTTCTGGTTTTCTGTGGTTTCTTTGAGTTTAATAAGAAGTGTTCTGGTCTGTACTCTGTATATCCAGTCAACCTTGAATACATTTAATTTTCTGTTTAAACCATTGTCTCTCTTCACTTGGGTCCAACGTGCTCTGCTCACCCATGAGATACTGGTCAGGAAGTTATACTTTCCTAACATGTTTTCAATGGAAGTGAGGGGAAACAAAATGAACAGTCCTAGAATTTAGTAAAAATAGTGCTCTTATTACCAGACGTACATGTTTCCACTTCAATATTCTGAGTTCAAAAATGTCTTTTGTGTTTCCCAATCATAATGAATCACCCACTTTTTGGCATGGAAGTGATCAAATATAAGAGGTTTTCACAGCTTAACGATGATTCAGCTAGCAAAAATACTGGCATCAGTCACCTGAGAAAAACTGAGGTCAAGATAGTGACACACAAAATATTTCAAATGAACCAAATGATGAAACCTTAATGTTGCTTTTTATGAGAAAAATAATCATAAAGGACGTCACATGTCCAAGTCTGGGTAGATTAAAGATGGATGAGGAAACAGTGTCAGCAGGCGGGGGGCTCGGTGCCAAAGGTGTCCGCTGCTCAGGTGTCAGCGGCTGGCCGTGTGAAGAGAGCAGAGAACAGGAGATCAACAGCCTGGAGGTATCAGATCGCCTGGTGGAAAGAGACATTCAGCTGCTTAGCCGGTCAAGACAACAGGTAAGATCTCTGTCCTGTCAGGGTTTGATGGGAAAATGGTGATTAGGGGGAAAATAAAAAACACCATATTAAAAAGGTATTTATCAGACAGCAGTACTAAGAATTGCTATTTTAGTTTTATCTGTTTGTCACAGAATAATTTTAGTTTTAAATAACATTTAAAACATGTTTAAAGTGGTGGGTACTTATATACATTGTTCTTTACATTGCTTGAATATTTTCATTATCCACTATTTTAAACTTTAAAGAAAATATGTTAATGTTTTTCTACTCCACAAAATGTTACAGACAGATAACTTCAGGATGAGAATGTATTTACACAACTTTTAAGGTATAATATAAATAACATTTGTCAAACTAAAGGATTAAAATACACTCATTTATCATTCCTTATATTTTGTATGCATCTTTGTGCTGATTTTTTCGTAATTTTATTTCAGTAAAATCTTTAGTGCATCACAGGCTACTTCTTTTACTTAAGTGAACGTTCTGAATACTTTATTGGAAATGAAAAAGGTGAGTGATAAATTGTACAAAGGCAATATGAATGACATTTGGTCCCACTGAATGGCAACTATTTGTTGTTTATTTTCCGCATTTTTGTTGTGCTGATGCTCTGGGAGAAACTGCAATAGGTTGTTCTCTTTCCAGCCACTAACGGGTGCAAGGAAGGTTATGGTGGGTATGGTTACTGCAGTAAAGTGATTATCTGAGAAACTTCAAAGCCTTCTTCATCACAAGTCCCATATTTCTGGAATTTGACCATCTGAGGCTAACTCATGCATACAGGGGCTTCTGATCCCAGGTCTGCTGTCTGCCGGCTGCCTCCTCTGCAGCCCAGCAGATGACACTGCTGTGTACGAAGTGATTATGTTACAGATACGTCACTGACAGGCTGTCTGCAAACAAAGGAGGTTTGTAAGTTAACAGTGGGGAAACTAAATTATTGGTGTTAAGACATAATTAATTTCCACCTGTACACTCAGTAGTCTAAGCAGTTCATACCGTCATCCTCAGGCAGCATTAGGTCAAATCATATATTTAAAAGCATGAAATGGTGTATTTTAAGAGCTGTGTGTTCAAATATATATTTTCTTTTTCTTTATCCTTAGTAATCAATGAGAAGAACTAGGAGAAACAGCCAGAGTCTCCTCCAGGATCTCTTTTATAGAGGGGTCCACAGAGGAGACAGAGATACCCCTGTAAGTGTCTGACTCAAGTTTATTATGATCCATGTCTCACTTACTTTTAGCTTCTCTAAGGGTTGTTTCACTTTCAGATCCCAGCTCAGCCCGGGAGAGATGCTAAAATGATTCACTCCATCGCTAGCCTGATCAGAGCGAAGAGCAAACTCCTCGTCCTCGAGAACCCTGACACTGTGGAGATCTACAAGGTAGGCTTTCAGCTTTTTCACAGATAATGAGTTTTTATGACCACAAATGCTTTCAAAATGTTAGTTTGTTCTTTTCTAATTACGAAGATGTTTGATTTTATTGTCATGTTATCTATATTTATGTATTTTGTTCAACTATTATGATTTATTTCATTTATTTATCATTATTCATTTCAACAAGTTAATGTTACGGTATCAGCAATAACTACTTTTAATTTCCTCATGCCATGATATAAAGCGATTTACGTGAATTAATAATAAAAAAGTATTACTTTCAGTATGCTTTTTGTGCTGTTAAAGAAGGTTATAGGGTTTACATTAAGATCAAAATATGGTGTGAGATGGATTCACCCCTTTATCATTTGTTGTACCCTTAAAAGCTGGATGATGCAACAACCCGTCCGAGCAGAACAGGTAAAGACGATGTTTACCTGCCAGCCATCACAACGAAGGCGTCGAGTCTAAGTTCACTCAGAGGGACGCTGAGTCAGTCCTGTCCTTACCTGTACGACAAAAGAAGAGGGTCTTTCTCGTCCGTTAACTCTCAGAGGACTGGGGATCACCCCAAAAAAACAGGTAATCTCACATCTGTTAAAGTTAAATTAAATCAAACCTAATTCAAAGTCAACTCTTTTTTTGGTCTTTCCACTGTCTTCTTCCAATATATTAGAATAACCTAAAGGCACAAAAAGAGGCCAAGAAATCCAACGTCACTGTGACAATGACCTACCTGGGACAAGGTCGTCGGGGGTCAGGGTTGGGGTCAACTCAAGATGAGCTGAAAGTACTCCAGCAGGTCAACGGAGGGGAAAACATCTGTGTCTTCAAAGGCGTGGTGACTCCCGGAGGTAGGAGCTGTCAAATATGTGCCTGTATTGCTAGAATGGCTTTCAAATGTGCTCAAAAGAGTATTTAGTGTCATTATCAATCATAGGTGAGTGTAATTGGAAGTGTTATCCACCTTTTACATGTTTAATTACTCATCTGCCCTCAAAGCAACATTGTGAAATGGGTGGTGAGGATCTTTGCCTGAGGCAGTTGAAGTAGTTTGAAAGAAGAACTGAGGGCTGATGTTGGACCTGATAAACTAAGTCAGTAGACAAGACTATAACATATGTTTTGCTGCTACATCACGATACACACTGTACAGCTATCACTTGGTGTCAGGCAGATGAAAGATGTTTTGTATTTCTGCTGGAAGTGTGTGTGTGCGATCTGATAACATAATCTTCTGTAGCTTTGTGAGATGAAGGAATAAAACAAAGCAAGTGTCTATAGTATTCAACAAAGCTTTTTTATGACGTTATATTTACTTTTCATTGATTTGTATTGCATTGATACTACACTATATCAGTGACGTGCGGTGTGGTTCATGGCTGGTGAGGCACTGACTCTTTCAGAGTCAGATTTACAAATATTATATTCTGACTTTAATCGAAATATTCTGTTATTTTCAAAAGCTTTTTTGGTCTGATGTTTCGATTCATTTTAAACAGACCGTTCAACAAAAGGATAGGCTAACCACAATCTAAATATTGGATTGTTCTTTCTTAGTAAGATCCCATTTTCATTACATTTGGGGTCTTACCTTGACTTGAAGATGAAGTCCATGCTCTCCTTCTGGACAACAATCTCTATTACTTTTTTGTAAAAGTCCTCCTTATCTTCCTGTAGTTTCAAAAGTCTAGTTTGTTGTTTGTGTCGCGTCTACCGTCTCTGCGTAGAATAACAGTAGCAACAAGGACCTGTGGGCTCACTTGCGCCCCCTTCAGTGCGGCAGAGGTTATGGCTGCCTCCCCTGGTGCTTTTTTCATTGCCGTTGTATGATGAGCCCAGCGAGCCTAAATATCATATATACGTGAAATAAGTTATTTAGAGACTATGGATGGCGAGGATAAATGTAATAAAGGGATCTACAAACATTACATTGGTGACATACAGTGAGATGGTGCAGGCATGCGCTTAGGGCCCGCTTTCCAGCCAGTTTCTGTGAGGTGACGCATTTTGAGGTGAGGCAGAGCTCATCTGTGCCTCACCTTACCCCACAGTAACTGGCTGGAGCGCGCTCACAAAATAAGTGCCCGCGCTAAATTAGTGCCCGCGCTCGAGCAAGTTACTGTGGGTTTACGTGAGGCAGAGCTCGTCCCTGCCTCACTTCTCATCGCTACCCGTAGTTGTAGCGGAGCTCGGCAAATTTGCTGATTTTGACAATAAAAAGCGATTGGAATCATACATAAATCACATTTACAACACAGATCAGTGGAGACATTTTATTATTATTACTATTTAGTTTTTTTCTTTAGTTGTTTTTCCGTTACATTGTAGTATGACCAGTCTATGAGTATGACAGGTGAGGCTCTGCCTCCCCTGCCTCCCCTGACTGCACGTCGCTGCACTATATATACCCTTTTGTGCACTGTTTACAGATATTTGCTACAGTGGTTTATGTCTTTGTTGTAAAAGAAGGTTGTTGAGGACAGACAAAGAAGAAATATTCTGAGACAGACCCTGACAGTGTGTTCTATAGATCATGCACTGATTTTTCAATGCTAAACTTCCAGATTGTGGTTAAGGTATATATCTACAGAAGTTTTGAAGTTACCGGTAGGCCTACAGGACAAAGAAATCAATGATTTAGTTTAAATTAGTAAGTTGTGTTACATACGAACTCAAGTTACCTGACAAATAAATACATTTTTGTATCACATTGGGCACACAGAGTGGTCTTCTGGGTTGAAGCTGATGTTTTTGGACCAGTCTTCAACTTTACCTCTGCATAATTGTGATTCTTAATAATTCCTGGTTCACAATTATGTGGATTACCAACTAAACTGACCGTCCAGGGTCCCAAGCCAAAAATACTTTCAATATCAGCTATTTTATGTCCTTGCTGCTACAAAACCAATTGTCATAAAAGACCATGAGCTTAGAACAAAAGGAAAACCCTTTCTAAACCTTTTGACCTTCACGTCAACACAAGCCAAGCAAAGAAAGTCAGATAACCACAAGGGATCTGTTAGAACAATCAAACACAATCATCTTCAACCTTCAAATGTTTCATAACATTTTCTCCTTATGTTTCCCAGAGCAGTTCCAGTTCATCTCTCAGAGGCACAGAGGCTTCCCCTTCAGTGCTACGTTGTACGTTAATGGCATCATGGTGGCCAGAATCAGTTCCTGCTGCGAGTACCGCTACGCTCCCGGCTTCCAGCAGGGCAGGAAGAGCTGCTTCAGACTGGCCTGGCTGGCTGGTGGGCTGCCCTGCTACAGGTCAGATTTCAAACTCTGGCAGCATTTCATTGGCAGAATATTCGAAAATTAGCTCCAGTCAAAACCAATCGGGTAAACCCATTGCTCTGCAGATATGATGTATTGTTGGCCGCTAAAGGAGGATGCATATTGCATGACATGAGGGGATAGTGTTGGTGTTGGTACATGGAAGGGAATGTGAGTCATAATGAAAGCATCTTTTCCATCTTTTTCAGATGTACAAGTCTCCGAAACAAATACAGCTCCTGCCAGCAGTTGAACAACAGCACAAAGGAGAACTTGATTCTCCCTGTAGAGCAGAGCCCTGGCAATGGTACAAAGCCTGGAAATGATTGTCCACATTTTCCATTACTTCCTAAAGCTTATTCATCAACATTTTCTCAGGCCCAGTCCTTGATTTCAATGGATTGGTTTAAAGACAAACTGTCCCACAAAGCATTTCTTTCTCTCTTTTATTTTGTGTCTCCAATGCAGGCTCTGCAGAGTCATGTCCATCATCACCTCTGTTTATCCCAGCCAAACCAGAGAAGAAATCATCAAGGAGGACGAGAAAACACATCAAGGACGGAGGTGGTGGATCTACAGACAGCGAAGACCCCGCTGTAGCAGGGATTAAAGAGACCTCCAAGAAGAAACGACGAAAGGGTCAAACTAATCAGAAAGAGAGCAAAGGCAAGACAGCTAGAAATAAAATGGAAGAGGAAAGAGACAGCAAGGGCTCGGAGGTCTCGCAGAGGTCAACGGCGACAGTAAAATGTGAAGAACAAGCATTGAATCCAAGACATGAACAGACAGAGAAGCCGACATTAAACAAGACAAGCAAAGTTCTTTGTAAGCACAGTTTTTATTTTATTATTTATTTTTCAGCTGCTTTTATTCCATCTGCATGTGGTATTTCCATTTAATGTTTCTCGTCGGCTGAAAACATAATTAAGGAACAAGACTTTTTCTTTGCTCAGATTCATTGCAGGATGAGGAAGCACTGACTAAGCAGAATGGAGAGAAACAGAAGGAGCTGGGATCAAATGGGAAAAACAGAGACGGGGAAAGACTGAAGGACTTCTATAAAGAATGTGTGGAAATGAGCACCGCGCTGGAGAAGGGCCCGAACAAACACAACTGGTTCAAGGCAAACAGTGAGTAAAAAACTGTAGCATGGAAATCCCTCTGGAGTGCTGCTACTGATTTATGTAATACACTTAGAAACAAATTGTTGAATTTGCTTAATAAGTGATGCATTGATCAATGTGTGCTTGAAGGAAGATAGACAACATGTGGGACAGGTTAGAGCTGGGCGATGTGAAGAAAATACTAATATCACAATATCTTTGATATTGATATCCTGTCAGTATTGCAGTGTTGATCGTTGATGCTTTAACAAAATGTAATCACAATTAAAATAGATATAACGTCTAAGATTGAAAAGGCAATTAACATGAATGAATGAATGATTTAATTCTGGTCAATTCTGAAAATGACATCACTTTACTGTAATGCAGCTTTAAAACCAGGACAAGCCAAACCTATACTATAATATCCAAAATCTAACACAATATCTAGTCTCTTATCATGATATCAATATAATATTGATATCTTGCCCAGCCCTAGGAGAGGTTATTCATCTTTTTGTTTCACATGCACGTGCCTGCTGTTTAAATAGTCAGCAGATCTGTTTCCTCTATTGAACATGAATGCTCAAATTGAATATGAGATTTTATTATTACATTCTCACACCAACACTGGTTATTAATATTGCTGTGTGCACTTGGCAATAGGAGAGAAAGTTTGATTACGCCTGAGTTGTTTTTGTTCCTCTTTAATGCCAAGTCCTGGAGAGGTGCCGCCTTCAGAAGAGCCTGTCATCGTTCCCTGGAGCGCCAGGCTCAGATGTGGAGCGCAGTGCAGAAAGTGACATGGTCCTGCAGCCTGATGGAGAGCCAGAGGAAGAAGAGGACATTGCCAGCCAGAGTGCTGGCAGAGAAGAGCCTGTTAGAGAACAAGACCTGCAGGCGCAGGTGTGTGTACGACACAAACTACTGTGGTGAATCTGTGTTCTTGCCAGAAAAAGTTATTGGCATTAAATCACCCAAATGGGAGCCAAATGACCCCATTCCTGCATTATGCAGCAGCGTGCATACATGTTCGTTAGAACTGATGATCGAAGTGCCACATTTTTAAGTAGTTACAGGCAATATTTTTGCATGATGGTCATTGAGGTGTCACCCTTATGTGATAAAACTGAAAAAGTGGAAATTCAAGATGTTATTCGTTTATATATTAAAGCAGTTTCAAAGGGATAACCAAGTATATCAGTGTCAGTATTTTAGATATGTTTTTTTATTTAAAAAAATCTAATCTATGACAATTACAGGAAGGGCCTTTACCTCATTAGCATGCATCATTTAACATTGTAACAAAATAACCATTATTTGGAGGTTAACACACATAGTGGTAACAAATGGTCACTGAGTTTTATCTGGGACAGGCAGGCGTTTTCGCATCATTATGAAAAACCTTCCAATAGCCGCTGAAAAATTCCTCAAGGTCTAGCAGAGTGGCATGGTGGAGGTGGCCGACAGCCAGACCATACTGTATGTCTCTCTGTACTCTCGGCCCGTCTTTGTGTTTAGAAAACCTCCAGCACCTGCCCCGCTCACATCTCACTCTTGGCCACATTTTGGAGTTATGCTGCTCTCACACTCAAACTATGAACTACTTAAAGGGGCCCCTTTTTCAATCACTTTTTTATTCCAAAGGCCTAAGACAGTCCAAAAATGTAAATACACATGAGCAAACTTCCCTATACACAATGAATTGTGAAAAGATGATATGAATAACACTAAGAGGACACGGGGGAATGTATGTAGAAATGTTCTGTTCCAGAGCTGATAACACAACAATAGGAAACTGCTCAATTGGTTATAACAAGAAAAAAAAACATTCTGTGAGTCTCCTGATGACATCACACGTTTCAGACTAACTTCACTGGTTTCTGGCTTACTCTCACACACATTGATTCAACTTTCCTTGGCCATGAAATCAATGTAATGGAATTCTTATTCTTCATCATATTCTCCTTTTAAGTTTTCCAATGATATTCATGAGATCATGATGCAAAATTGATGTATCCTACAAAACGTTCTGCCTGGCAAATTAGATAAACTAGAATCTCAATA